TTCAAGCAGGAATTGGATAGCTTTTTCACAAATGAATCAATTGATGCGTATCAAAGACAGACTAGTGTACAATTTATTTTTACTTCGGGACCAGCCAGAAATAATACTCATCTTTTCTGGTCCTGTACATTCCCATGAAACATTCTAAGGTTCAATTATTCAATGTGGACATAATATACACTACTGCCTTGTAATAATGGACTTATATCAGTTATCAGTATTGAAGTGCAGTATAAAGGACAGAACCTAATACAGCAGACAAAAGATCCAGACAAAATACCTTACAGGGTGGGTCTCTATCAGGCTGCAGTTTGATTGGAATATCCCCTCAGAATGATGAAATACTGAAAAACTTTTTTTTAAAAACAACTGGCAAAATGAAACCAATATAAAATGAAGATTTTAAAATAACAGTTCTGAGAAATTCTTTTACTCCCCATTCTGGATTATTTAAAATCACATTAAATATTTTTGTTCTTCCAGAATTGATAGCAGATCTAGTGTGGTGCTGCTTAATATAAATTCTATTCCCAAGAGTGTTTTTTTTCTAGTTCTTTTTCACATATGGACACGCCTAATTCCCATTTTTAAAAAGCAATTTTGACCTCTAATAGTGTTGTAATGTAGGCCTGTTCAGACGCACTATTAAGAGAGAATGTGTCGAGAAAATCATTCAGCATCAAAGAAGGTTTGTGGATCCTTCAGAGAAAGGCACGGTTGGTGCAGCTGGGAGTGGAGCCAGGAGGGAGGGAATCATTTTACTGAACAGCTGTGGATAGTTGTGTGCAGCTGTGTTTGTGGAAGTGGATTTTAGATAAGATCAAGAAGTTGATGTGGAGTTCGACACTCAAATTATTGGTCTATCTATTCTTGTCTGAAACAGTATTAGAAACAACAAAGGATGAAGACACAAGTGTTCCTGCTTTAGATCCTGCACAGCTAGAAATCTCATGCCTTTTTATTGTAGATTGGGCTGTATGATGTTGAAAGCCAATCAGTACTGGCAGAGGCCAGTTAGGTTTCAGACCCCACGTGTTATTGACTGAAGACAATGTATTTTTGGACGGCCCCTTTTCTTAGATTGAAGCTCTTTGGTACAAATGCTATTTTAAATTAGTTATTTTGGAATGTCTCTAATTTTAAACTGCTAATTATAGTATTTTTAATAGCAAATTAAAGTTAAAAAAAAAAGTTGTTTTGCAATATTTTAATATGCATTGAATCAGTGGACAGTTTCCAAAGAAAAGCAATTTTGATTCCTCTTGATCATATTCCAAAATATTATAAAAGGGCAGCATCTGCACACATACTGGTGTTTTTGAGCCTCCTTTTGTCCCTGTGTTGTATGCCTCAGTTCTGCTGGTAAGAGACAGACTGGTAAAAGATATCAGATATTATCTTATATTTTTTATATTCTTTCATTACTTACATTGGACTTGGATCTCAAGAATATCAAGGTGGCTGGTACATCCCACTCTGCTCTTGATAACGAGTAGGGTGGTCCTCGCTGGACAAGAGACAAGAAGCTTACCAATATTCTGCAATAGTAAGCTCTCAGTTTTTGCCAATTAAACTCCAGCAGTAAGCCAATGCATACTCTCGGAACTCTAAGCCTTAGCTCTTGGCTGAATTCTCCTGCAGTAGCTGAACAGGTTACATTCGACCTGGGAGAGAAATGCACTCCATGCCAGATAAATGGAAATTATACATATGTGAAATGTCAGGACTTTGGTTTGGAGACTTTTAAACATGATGATGCATTTCTGCACGTGGCAGATAGCTGGCAGAAAAAATTAAGATACGTGAAAAGCTAAATGTTCAAGCATTTCATCACTGTAAATTATGTGGCAAAACAATAATTAAGGATCGTACAAATTCCGTTGTAAGATTTGCAGTCTTCCTTTTGTGGATAGAATAGACTCATTAACAATTTGCTTGGCATTTCAGCTTATTCTTCATCAGCATCTCAAACTAATGGAATAAGAATCACAGTCAATCATCAGGCGAATGTCATTATCTCTTATTAAATAATAATAATCTTTGCATTTGATATAGCGCTTTTCACGTCATCTAGCCGTCTCAAAGAACTTCACAAAATAGACTACAAAGTGAATTGACTGTATATTTGTGGACGAGATGCGGCAGCCAATTGCACACAGCAGTGTCCCACAAACAGTCGTGGATTGAAATATTGTTGTTTTTTTATGAGGGATTATTATCAGGCGTGTGGCGTTAGGAAACTTGCCCAAAGTTTCACCCTGCCGGGAATCGAATCCAGGTCTCTCGCTTGCAAAGCAAGTGCTCTAACCACTGAGCTACAGGACTCCAATGTAAATGTAAAAGAATAGGTTTAAAATTTTTAGATTAACAAATAAGCACCTTTCAATGAGAAAATATAATTGGAGTGAAGTTAAAAACTGTGTAAATTACTGCTGGAAAAGGTTTTGATGTAAGGGTCCCATCTAGTATGATTTCCACAAGGTACAGAACAGTAGTTGAATGTATATTGTCTCAACCACAGTACATAAATTTGTTGTTGTTATACATAAAAATCACAAATATTCCAATTCCAAGATTATACATGAAAAGCATAACAAAGGTTAACAATGACTGTACCTTAACTAACTTGCAATAATTTCATGGTTTAATGATATGCTGCAATTAGAGTAATCAAAACATTTAATGCAAATTCCATTCCACTATTATTAAAGTGAATAGCAACCTTCTCCTTGTCTGTTGCAGCAATCAGCACTTTAAATAGAAGTTCAATAGAGATCACAGCAGGAAGGCTGACTGTCATTCTTCACGGAGCTAATGAATCTCCTTACCCAACAAATGCAAAACTTGTAATCAACAGGATTCAAGTAGCAACAGGATTCAGAAAATATTAGGTTATTTCAGAAATGCTAAAATGAAATCTTATTTGAATGATCATTTTAAGCCCTTTGAAACGATGCTGAACCTTCCTCTCAAATAAGGTTTTTGCAGCCAAGTATTTTTGCAGCAAAGTCTTTTTTCAGCACTCTGTATGCTCTGTGTATCCCCTGCTTGGCATGAAGTTATTTTATATGAATGGTATTTGAGGAAAAGCAGATTTGCCCCCACTAAAAAGAAATGTATAACATTTGAAAAAAATCATTGCATGCCAATGGAGTGAAAATTATGAGGCACGCAGATGAATGTGGTTTCAAGAAAAATTCAGATATATTCACACTGTGGTCTGATGCAATTTTATAAATTCACAACATGCCAGGATTACATATGCCATAAATTAAACTGTTTCACAAACACAAACAGCAGCAACTGCAGCAGGAAAGCTCATCTTAACAGAACACATACTTTATCGCAGTGAATAACACTTGGGACTGACTCTTCACATTCTGTTGCAATGCAAGAATGGATTTGAGATTTGGACTTCTCAATCTAAAGAAACCAGTTCAGAACTCAAATCTCAAATCATTATTTAGGCTCCCTAAAATAAAATGACACATTGACATGACACCTTAGGCTTTGTTGGATACTAATTAATAAATAAGAACCAGTTGACTAGGACCAATGGAAGGAGATCGGGAGGGAGAGAAAGCAGGAAGAACTGAGTAGTTTGGTGTGACTGTTGGATTGTGTAACTGTAGACCTAAAATAAAAGAGTGTTCTACACAGTTTGTTGAGAACGTGACAGGCTTCCGTACTAACAGCAAACTCAATCTAACCTAGTCAAAGCCCAAACATGTTTCTCCCCGGAACTATTTCTGTACACAGATGGCTGCTAGGAATAATCTTAGATAAATTATTTTGTGAGAAGGGTAAGAAAGGTTCAAATATAGTTTGGTGAGTTTGCATTTGCTTTCCCTGGTAATCCAGTGTGAGTATGCAGCCAAATAATCTATGTCGGGTGACAGGTATCTGTTTCCTGGCCGCCTAGTGCTGGATCCAAGTCATTGACGGTCAGTGATGCAGCGTGGCACTCAATCAACCCCAGGCATTAACATAACATTAATTTATACTGCCTAAGGAATCATTTGGTATCTGATTTCATTGTGTTGCAGGAGGTCCTGTAATTGTGGAAGTCTTTTAATTGTGAAAATCAATATGGACAAAGAGGACAAGCAAAACATTATCTAGCAGCACCATGAAAATGTATGTGGTGTAAAAATCAAATGAGACGCATGATGCACTTCATCAATGCACAGGGTAACCTTTGTTAAGCTAAATAAATGGATTCTGCTCAAGGTAATGTAGATACGTCATTGTAGATATTATAAAACTGCCTGTTTCACTCACTTTGTTGTACATCTACCGAATAAGTTCTCAACATACTCAGAAGGTATTTTGTAAAACATCAGAGGGATATAATTCACTAAAGTTGTCTAAAATTTACTAGACATCTCCTCATATAAGTGTAATTGCTGTCCTAAGATTTTTGAAGCTGTTGAAAGCATTGCATTGCAAGCAGAAGGCAAAGTATTGGCATCTCCATAACATTTTTGTTCAGCAAGCAGGACTGCCAGGGTAGGGCTCAGACACTTTTACGGCTGCTCTTGATATCACTCGAGCAGAGGTACAGTGCTCCCCAATTCTTTGCGCTCACCCTCAGGAGATGAGTACCTTTGAGTACAGGGTACACCATAACACGCTCCAACAGAAAACATAAACCTCAGAGTCACAGAGTTATTTGAAAGATTGAAACGTCAAAGCTTTAAGGATACATCTGTGTCCTCCAAGTAGTTCATCACTAGAGCACCCTCAATAGAATAGTTACAAGCAACTGACCATGAGTCAGTTAATACAACTTCATACAAAGCTAACAATTTGTCCTGATTTGCTGTACTGCTGTGATACAGCACATTTTCCAGTTGAGACGAAAGGAGGGTTCTGGATTCAAGCCAGAAATATTCAAAGGGGATGGGTGGATAGTACATGCCTGATGAATTGTCTCCACAATAAGTCTAGACAGCGTCTTTGGACTAATTTTAATATATTCTTAAGTGTCTGAATCGTACCTGATAAACATGAAATGCGTTGGCAGTTCGTCCACGTAGAAACACTGTTGGAATCCAGACGTTTATCAGTGCACAGTGAGACCTAGTCAGTGACAAAAAATAATCCACAGTAGTTTTCAAGTGTAATAACGTGCTGATGCAAAGCAATGGAAGAGTGTAGCTCATTCACAACAATTTAAAGATAATGGGGCACAAAATGAATATTAATAACAATCCTTGCATACGAAATAGCATCTATAATGTGGAAATATCGGAAAGTGCTTCACAAAAAATTGCTATAAGGTTTAGTGAACGTGTAGGCAAACATGAGAGCTATTTGGCACACTGCAGAGTTCCACAAACAGCCATCAAATTTATCTGGAGAAATTTTGGTAGAACACTAGGATAAACTCCCATTTCTTCTCAAATTGTGGTCATTTTAATGTTGACCTGAACAAGCAAATGAGACCTCGATTCAATGTCTCATCAGAAGGCTGGCACCTTTGACATTGCAAGACACCCCCTTGCACCTGAACAGAAAGATTTTGGAACGTCAATGCCAGAGTTCAAAGTCCCTACTACATTAAAATAAGCATCTTTATTATATCAATTGTAGTTCAGTTCCCATAATGTTTAATTTAAACAGCTTGCATCCACTCCACATTCATGATTTATGAACACAAATACTGTTTGGAGTATCGGCTTACAAATTTTCAGCTGCCTAAATTGGGGCTGCAGCCATCATTTTCAAATGAGCTGAACATCAGTTTCTCTCAGACTGTTGTAAACTGAAGATTAACATGATAAGCAGCCATATAAAATGCAAGGATTATTATTATTATTTATCATCATGATTAAGAGATAGGTGAATTCAGCAATGTGGCCTACATTCCAAAATATGGATGTCCTCCTGTCCAAGCAGGAAAAGAAATCGATTTGAGAAATCATAAGCTCTTCTATGAACTCACTTAGAAAGGCTGTGAACAGTTTTCAATGAGTATTTATACAGAATAATGGTCATTTTAGTATTGATGTAAAACATACTTCTGTAAATCCATATTACAGCTGCACTGCATAAAATTATTTAACGAACTTAATTTCAAATTAGTCAAAATAGGCAAACACTGATCAAATATCAATAAAATAAGAAATTTGAGATGCTGAGGAAACATGAACAATTTCATTACGTCAAACAAACTCATGCCCAAAATATGAAATCACAGCATTCGCAACTAAGTGTTGTAGCAATCCTGCTACAATGATCCATGATGGCGTGGCTGGAACAGCACTGAGCCAAAGCACAGCAGATAAAAACAAATGGTAATTCCGTGCAGAAATAACACTACTTTACTTATTTAAAATGAACAAAAAGATTAAAACCGTTTAAAAGCCAATGCCACAAGATTAGTTAAGCGATTACAACTATGGTAGTTATACTGCACAATCTCACAAACCAATTCTTTGAATATCAAAATGTGTTTCTGTTCAGGACACCCAGGGTTTATCTCGTTGAAACATGCATCTATCTGTATACACTACACCATTTAAGATGATTTAAATTGTAACCTGTCCACTTCCATTACAATTGGATCAGTAATTTTGCCATATACTACAGGATAGTGCTTCATTAGTTTTACAATTCAGCAGAAGGAATCTCCAGAGTATGAATAACTAAACAGACCCCCAGTAACATTTTCGGTGCTATCTTGTTTGGACTGTCACAATTTGTATTGGAATATGGATCTAGAAGATTAATTGTGACAGAAATAACAAATAGTAATTGTATTGCAGCAAATGGAACTTGTAGCCATTCCTCCTAGCACTTGTTATGAAGGCATAATGCAAGATAAAGATCTGTTGTAATAATTTCAAGGTTAGCCTTGGAGGATGTGTGAAGGTTTTTCAGAAGTGTACATAACAAAAGCAAGCACGGCCTATTTATCATTCAAAGAGCGGCTATGCTTCCTTTTTGTCTAAGAACTCTTTCAAGGTAATAAGCCAGAAGTAAAGTATTGCAATAATAATCTGATGAGAAATTAGGTTAATATATTAAGACCGATGCTATTTGCAGAAACACAGCGAGACCAGAAACACAGCAAGACCAGAATCAAAGCAACCCAATACAACGCAAAGTGAAGCAATGCACTGGTATTAATTCAACCCAATACTAATTGATGTGGCATGAAACATGAGAGTGAAATAACCCTTTGAGAGGGGAAGGGTCCCAATGAATGAAAATTGAGATAACTACATGTAATGAAAGGATCAATGAAATGCTGCAACCCAATACTAAGGCAAGGGATAGAATTCATTTGTACCAATGCAACCCAATGATATATGCTGAAGGCTGGTGCAATCTAATGCAAATTTGTAATCAGCAACTCTGCAAAGCAAATCTGAAGCAAATGGAGATGCAAGACAAGCTCTATGAATAAGCATTTCAGATATGAGGAACTTGAATAATGAGATGCAAATCAAGGAACAGAAGATTTGAAGTGCGCTGGAACAAAAGAGAGCTACAGCAGAAATGACTGGGATCCAAAATAATGGTCTTCAAAGAAAAGCTTCAATACGGGCGAGATGCAAAGGGAGCTGAAATGCAAAGTAGAATAGTGGCTCACAATGGTGTAATTATACTGACTAATGATGGGTTGCTCTATGGACCATCGCAAGTAACCCAAGTAAAAAATAAAATGTGTTAAGCCAGAAAGATATTAATGTAAGCTAATTTGACATACCCATTTGAAATACTGTTTTTGTTTATGTTACATATTCACCTAGAGAGAAAGCAATGCTGAGCATCTAAGATGATTAATTACTGCTATGTCAGCAATAAGCCCTTTGCTATGTTTAAAAAAAACTTCATATTTATCTGCTTTATAGCAGATATATCAAAAGTAAAAAAGACATTATCAAATTTTGTTAACATTTTTACTGCCATATTTTAGAGTTAATAAGACAAATGCCTGCATGTAAAATAACAAGCATCAATCTGCTTTGCACACAGAACCCTTTTCATAGCAATGCATAATATGCATTATAACTATGTGAAGAGAACCAGAAATTAGATTTAAAAAACAGAATGAGATCCTGAGGATTCAGAGGTATTGAACATGGAAGCAAGAAAACAAGTGAGTTAATAACAAAGAAATCCGAAACAAATATAACTACGCATTAAACAGTGAAAATAAAGAGTTGTTTAAATTGTAATATAAGGTAAGACACTACTTACGTTTCAAAATCTGACAAACTTTGGTCTTCAGATGTTTGACTTAAATCACCAGGCACCTATAAAAGGAAGAAATATGTTTAAATCACAATAACTGAATACAAATGAAATACAGTTGTAAACCACTTAATGAAGAGGCAATCAAAATATTCTAAAAGAAACACAGCTAGATATTTCTCAAAATGTCAGTTTATAATGAACAGTAAAAATGATGTTTTGACAGGACAATTCTGTGCTGCTCAAAAAAAACTTTTTTATTACTTTTTATCATTTATTTGTAGTATTTACAATATAGTAGACAAGCAAACATTATTGTTAATGTTGACTCGGATAACTGGTAGAAAAAATTAGAATTCTGTTCAGGAACAGTGAATAGTTAGCAGAAACAAATGTGTGGTACATATGTGGTACTATCCCTGCTGAACGGAGGTAAAAGGAAGAATAAAACAAGAATAAAACCAGTTTTAAATAGAACAGAAAGTATCATGTCCTTATTTTCTAAATTGTTATTTAAAATCACTGTAAATAATGCAATAGTAATCAGTGAGTTTAGAAAATAAGGGAGACCCATAATAAAGGTCAAATATTCAAAAAATATTCACAAAAAATTGCACTTAAATTTATAATAATTAATTATTATAAATAACGAATATAATAATGAGTTAAAGTGATCAATCACTTTCATCCTTGGAGAACTACAGTTGCAATTCAATGAAAATACTTTATTCAAGTGTCATGAGTGGAACATGTGTGTATTCTGAACTCCAAGAAGTCCTTTTGCATTGAAAGAGTTAATCACCAACTTAATGTCCAGAATGCTACATATGCAAAGTTAGGGAAGGCCATATAATCACTTTGTTTTCAGGCTTGTCAATTCTAAAGCTATGGTCACGTAAGCAATTCATTGCACACATGGTCATATATTCTGAAGATTATGTCAATCGACTTCAAGAATCATCAGATTGGCAAACAAATGTTTTTCTTATTGTGAGGCTTTAACACAGTTCTTTGCCAACAACTTCAGCATCCTGCAACATATACCACTTTTTATCCAGCATTTCCAAAGCAAACAGATGCATGACAATAATCATCAGTAAACATCAGAATTCAGCCAATTTTATGAGTGAAGACTGGAATTATCAAAATGTCCAGGTATCCTCAGACACAATGCCTCAGATGGACTGGCTGAGGAGAAAAAGCTGAAAAACAGCTGTTTATTAACATCAGCCATATCGTTCTTCATATCCATATCTGGATAAATGCACATCAAACTTATTTGTATTCATCTAAATATGTCTCTGTTGTACAGGGTTCAACATTTCATGAAATGAATTATTCTATGTGCTTTGACAGACAGTACACAACCAAATCCTAACAAGACTTTTTAAATATTCACCTCATTCACATTATTTGCTGTCTGCTTTGATGAGTAGTAACATTATTCAGCAACAAGTACCTAAATAAAATGCAATATTTTTGGCCAATTACACTATGCTTTTGCCAAACTAATGCAAAAGTCACAAAAGATCAAAGCAACATGATAATGTACAATATATCTGGCAAATGAAACAATAAATCCATGAGATCATATCACTTCACACACACGCGCACACACATTGTGACTGTGAGCCTTTAGTTTCGGTTGGCACTCTAATGCAGTGCTGGGGGAATGTTGCAACGACAGAGGTGAGATATTAAACTGAAGTCCCATCTGCTCGTTCTGATGGCTATTAAAGATCCCATAGCACCATTCAAAAATAGAAGGGAGTTTCGTACCAACAAAGCCCAAGATTAAAAAGACACTGCTCATTTTTGTCAATTTCTGGGATACTAATGTGCGCACAATAAGGTGCTGCAAAACACTATCAAGTGCTTTAAGTTTCATATTTACAACCAATAAAAGGTAATCTTTACCATTGTATGCAATGAACATTTTAATGAAAGGATGCTTCTAACTTTGAGGGAAGAGGAAAACGACCCTCGGCACTGAATTCACTGTGCTCTTCATCTATCTGCCTTAAAATGGTTTTAATCTCCAGATTAATAGGTGGAAAGCAGCAGCATGAAGCTCAAGATCGGTGGATAAGGAAACTTGAGGTTCTGCAAGATATACAGAAAATAAGCACACACTAATTGTGTTTGGGTTGCAAGCTGAGGGAATTCATCAAAAGCACCAGAGATGGAGATGCGCTAAGAATGATATCTATAGGCTTAATATTCAACCTTATGGTTATGGAGCAAATGAAAACACTACTGTGATTACGAGAATAGTGAAGCCTGGACTGATGGTGCCAAGTCTCTTGGCTGAGACTCTGTGCTGTTAGGAGTCTCATACTTTATGATGAGTGGATGTTTCTTATCCAGCTCACAATAAATGGAAACTGACAGTTTTCTTCAAAGAAAAGGGCTTCCATAGTCTGCATTTGGTTCCGAAATAGGTCAAGGACAATATGAAGAAGAGAAGCACAAACAGAGAATTTTAAAGATATTTCCAATCAGATTGCAAAGCTTGTGCTTCTAGATCAATGTCTTGCACAGAGAAGCAGAATGTCTTGCAATCTGGTTTACTGGTTTATGTCCAAATATCGAACCTTTCTTGCAAAAGTACAAGTACGTAATAAAACCACACGGTCAGATATACCAACGTAAAGCTAAAAAAAAACTAAAAAGGAAACAATATAAACAAATAGTATCCCTGTGAGACGCAATGGCCCCTCATAGCAGCTTTTATTAAGTGCCGCAGAAGTCAGACGAAAAAGCTCTTGCAGAAGCATACTTAATTTGAGCTTCAGTTCCAAACACAATGAGAATACATCGCTATGGTTCATCACAAGATCTTTTCTCCATGGACAGTATGATTGAAAAATAAGAGCACCACTCTACATAGAGAAAATTTTACTGTGCCGAAATCAAATTAAAGAGCTAATGTGCTAGTCAAATTATCTTCTTAGAAATAGATGTTTAACTAGGATATCCAGGCTTTAAAACTTTTAATTTATTTTAAAACCATCAATTCTGAGCATCATATTGAAGCTTCAAAACTTAACCAATCTTAAATTCAACATGAAAGATGAAAAACAGATACTGTTCTGCCTATTCCAGGGCTCTGAGACGCTACGCCGTATGAAGGGTGCTATCTAGTTGAAAGCTGCTGTTGATATTCCCTACGCTGAACTGACTTTTCTTTAGGCACTAAGAATTGGTTGGCATTTTTAAGATAAAAATAACTCAATAATATGCAAATGTCTTTTTATATGCAAAGTCACACATTTAAATGCTTTATTTGTATTCTCTTCGTCATGGTATAATAATTCGGTAAATTTATTATTAAAAGATGCACACACATTTTAAGATTGAGATGTTATCCACGTAATTAATTTTACATTTTAAATGTCATAATTACTTGCACTATTCAATATTCCAGCAGGTACAGTAGAACATAATTTTATTTCAAGAAAAAGATAATTTGATGTAATTAAACTTGAAAAGTTGCCTGACTGAGGCAAATACTTCTAAAACGTTCAAAGCAATAGCTATGATTTTGGAAAGACAAGGTGATAAGGCACAAAAAGAAAATCAGCAACTTCACATAGAATGGATATGAACTACTTTAGTATTAATGAAACACAGCACAACATCCCTGTATAATTGTCAACAAGTATATTTATATCTGATTGAAGGTATTAACATTTAAATCAATTTACCAGAATGAATAAATGTAACTTTTAAAGAATTCAGACAATTCTTTCAATCAGAGCGTTAAAACATAGATTTTTTTCCCTTTAATTATAATTCCAAAGTGCTTTTCACTTTACTCATTCTAAACTGTGAGACAGTTCATGTTTAGAAAGGAGAATTTTAGCCCTGCACCTTCTTATTCATCTCACATGCAATTCTACTTTAATTATCAACTAAGACTTTCTCAAAGGTTTTTCAAAGTAAACTGTCATGTGGAAAAAGTAGAGATAAGAGGCAAGATGAGTTGGATTTGTGTAGCCCTTCCCTCCCGCAGCAACCCTATTGAATAATTATAAAATAAATTATCACTTAAGTACTCAGTTTAAAGAGAAAAGCACAAGCATTACTGTAACAATAAATGAGCCCATTAATTGCTAAAGCTATTATACTAAAAGGATTTGCGATCATATAAATGATTGCTTCACTCTAATGTGGCCGGAACTGGTGTAAACAGGGCTAGAGGTGTGGTCAAAAGTTACTTATCATTCAATTTGCATGTTACCCTTCATGTAAAGTATCTTTGTAACTATAAATTAGATTGTGAAAATAAATTAGGTGAAATGTAATATTGCAAGTAACTATTATAAGGACATGGGAAAACTAGATATAGAACAAGGCCATTCAGTCCATCAAGACAGTTCTAGCAGTTTATTAGATTTGAGCAGATTTTGTAACCTTAATGCTCTGCCCTTTTTCACCACGCCTATTAATAACTCAACTAACCAAGTCTCTCTCCTTTCCACCTCTACAGCTTTCTGGTGCAGAGCATGCCACAGCTTCACAACCCTCTGGGGAAGAAACACTTGCTGATATCAGTTCTAACCATCTTAGTTCTGATTTTAAGGCTGTGCCCCTTGTAATGGATCCTCCAACCAAAAAGCTATCTAACACATCAATACGTACATACACCACACATTTTACCCAACTCAACCAGGAATAAACAAATTATTTTGTACAATATTGTCACGAATTAGCACACTGTCCTTTTACCTTTGGGATCCGTGTTCAGAGAGCCTAGACTAATAAGATGAATGCTTCCATTCTGACAGGGTTAAGGGCCATTAAATAAAATGAATTCGGGGAAGTTCTGTGCATTTTCAAGTTTGAAAAACACAAAAGTAATTATAACTCATCAGCCTAAGTCAGAAAATTCATCAGGTGACAACTGTAGGAATTGGAAATGTCAAATCGGTGCAGTTGGATCTTCTGAGGTTGGCACTGAAGCACATTTCATACTGAAAAACAGGGATTTCAACTTGTCTGGGTCTTTCTGGGTGGTAAATGGATCCAAAGTATTTATATCATATGATGTATTCAAAGG